AGTTGTGCTTTTAAAATGAGTGCAAACCCTAGCAGGATCTAGCTCTCAGGGCTGAATTTAAGGTCTTATAGCTGTTGGATGACACGTGTAAATCGGAGGTGGAGGTTACCAACTTCATTGTCTTTGTCAGTTTTCCTGCCGTATAATACCAGTGCTAAATCAGTATCTGTGCTGGAAGAAGTCTCTTGTCTGCCTTTAAAGCTGGGTGGAAAGGGAGGGGAGGGGAGGAAAAAAGGCAAATTTTATTTGACACTGAGCACTACCAAATTCATTCTGAAGCCAAGTGGCTGCTATCCTGTTCCCTGTGACTACTACAAAGAAGACTTTGAGATGGGGAGATGTGATTAGCTCTCATGGGACGCACTTAGTGATGGTACATGGTAACTTTTTTTTTTTTAAACTCCCAGGTAGCGTACAAATTTGTTGTCTGTTGACGTAATGCTTTTATTTCTCATTTCAGCTATGAAGCCGTACACTCCAGCTTTCATTCTCCTGTGGAGTGCTGTTGGGATAGCGAGGGCTGCCAAAATCGTTGTTGTGCCGCCAATTATGTTTGAAAGCCATCTTTATATTTTCAAGACTCTGGCCTCAGCCTTGCATGACCACGGTCACCAGACAGTGTTTCTTCTCTCTGAGGGCAGAGAAATTCCTCCATCTAATCACTATAGACTTCAGCGTTACCCAGGGATCTTTAACAGCAGCACCTCGGATGATTTTCTCCAGTCCAAAATGAGGAGTATTTTCTCTGGGAGACTGACAGCCCTGGAACTGTTTGATATCCTGGAACACTATTCCAAGAACTGTGACATGATTGTGGGCAACCAAAACCTCATGCGTGTCCTGAAACAGGAAAAATTTGACCTGCTCCTGGTAGATCCTAATGAGATGTGTGGATTTGTTATAGCTCACCTTTTAGGGGTTAAATACGCTGTCTTTTCGACTGGCCTTTGGTATCCAGCAGAAGTAGGTGCTCCAGCTCCCCTGTCTTATGTTCCAGAATTTAACTCGCTGCTCACAGATCACATGAACCTGTTTGAGAGGATTAAAAATACTGTTGTTTATCTTATTTCAAGATTTGGAGTCAATTTTTTGGTTCTGCCAAAATATGAAAGGATAATGCAGAAACACAAGGTTCTGCCAGAACGGTCCATGTATGACTTGGTTCATGGATCCAGCCTGTGGATGCTCTGTACTGATGTAGCACTAGAGTTTCCAAGACCCACGCTACCAAATGTTGTTTATGTGGGAGGAATCCTAACCAAACCGGCCAGCCCTCTGCCAGAAGTAAGGTTTGCTGAGCTTTACAGTAACTTCTACAATATGTGGGTCACTCTGTGTGAGGAGTGGTGGTTTTTAAGCAGTGAATTTCAAATGGGATCGAGTGTCTTGACGTTTTAAAACTTCTTCTGTTGTTGCTTAGTGTGCTTAGTACACTTGAAGTAACTGGAAGCGTACTTTTACGGTTAGGGGAGACACTTATTAGGCACAGACTCATCAAACTGAGTCTCTTGTGGTTACAGTAGATATTCTTGTTTTGAGTTTAGTGTTTAATGATACAGCAGAAAAAAATGGCAGTGCTTGCTGTCTTGAAACTTACAGCTGTAATTTCTAACTAAGCCCATTAATAGGTTATGCTACCTGTAATTTCATGATATTAGTGTTTTTATGGAGCGTTTGCTTTCCTTGGTTACATAGGTAAAAATGTCTTTAAAATGAAGCATGAAGAAGCTGTGTCAAGGTGAACAAACGGAGAAGATGGGAATTGACATAAATGGCGCCAGGGCTTTAGTTGGATATAAATTTTTAGTGCCTTCAAATACAGTAAAACTGAACTTCAGACAGAAATAGTGATAGTGGCTGGGCTGAGTCCAGAAATCCTGACTGCAAAGACCTCTGGTTTAATAATTAAATTTTATTACTTCAGTGCAACATGTGCTTTTGAAACCTGGTGTCCGAGAATGCCTCTGTTCAGCAGTACAATGATGAGTGACAGGCAGAACAAAATTTCACAGAAAATAACGTTACTTATGCTTTTGTGTGTGTGTATATATACAAATATATACGAATAGATCTTGAATCAGGAATGATTAATGATAGGCTCTTACCTATCTAGCAGTCAGCCAGAAGATAGATCAGTAGAGCTCAACGATTTGCTTCTGCTTTTTGCATAAAACCTGCTGGACCTGCTTTTCATCTGTTTTTCCCTCAGAGTTGATCTTGGAAAACTGTATTTTTCCTTTAGACTGGCAGTAGTGTTTTGACCTAGCACTATCTTTTTCCACTAACTTGGAAAGCACCCAACAATTCAGTACTTTGGGCTGCATGATTTAGAGTGCTGTGCCAAATTCCCTTATCTCTTTTTTGTCCTTCACCCCCTCCCCCCCCCCCCCCAAATGTTCAACACATTCAGGCTGAATGAAAAAGCAGGCACTTGCATAGTGTGCTGAGCAAATTAGTTTTACGTGTGATAACATGCTACTGCTTGGTATGTCACCCCAGAAACTGGGAAGCAGCTGAACTTCTTCTGGCCTCAGCACAAATAAGGACATGTACCTGGGTAACCTGACTTGCACAGGAAGGTGAATTCCCTAACAGGAGTTTGGGAGTAATCTGGCTACTGGAGAGTCCTCCATGGAACTTTTTTCTTTTTCTTTCTTTTTTTTTTTTATTTTCTTCCAAGGTCTCTGTGCTCCTTTAGGATAATTTTAAGCCCCCTTTTGGGGCAGCATGACAGTACAATAAGAGATGTGGGTAATGACAGAAGAAGACAAATGGCTTCTTTTAGTGATTATTCTTCAGAGAACTAGTCCAGAAAAAGAAAGTTATATTTTACATGATTTTCACTAATGGTTTCCAGTTATAAATAGCCTGTTGTTTGAATTAGATTACCATTAACAGTTTTTCCTCTAACAGGTTTTCCCCTTGTGTAGATTAATGTATTTGTGTTTAGAAAGTCCCTTAACTAATAGGGACACACAGATAGCCTGAGAAAGCAGACTCAAGTCCTGTGCTATTTAAACAAAGTTCACCTCCATCTTCTCCAGGAAGACCTTACTGACTGGATTGAGTTTGAACTGCTCATTTTCCAAACTGTTGTTCTCGTATTTTGTAAGGCAAAAAATACATCCTTGTTGCATGATAAATTTGAGTGCTACGTCAACGTTTTCTTTTTGATTTCTGTAGGTTCTCTTCAGGGTAAAAAATTAACTGTCCCCAAAAGAAACAGATATTTTCTTTGCTATAAAATGAGGTGGAAGAAAATGAAAGGAGCAGTATTCTTTCCATGTTTTGCTATAGGGAGTTTTTTGGAGCCTTTGAGATTGTATTTGTGTGTACTTTCAAAATTTACTTGTGCACCATGAGTACTAACCTGCTGTGAAATCCTAGGATGTGAGAAGATGGGATTGTAAGTAAAATATTTTATGTAACCAGGCTCAGTTACACAGTGACCTTGAAACAGATTTATAGAGAGAGTACATGCTGGCAAAGACTTATGTGAAAAAAAGCCGATATTGTTTGCAAACTGGGACTTTGTGTGAGCTGAGACTTTACTTACCTTCTCTTCTGTTTTATTGGGCGCAGTTCATTCTTGTGATGTTCTGGGCGCAAGTTTTGAATGAATACAAAAGAGACCAAGTGGGAGGGTTCATCTTTTAGCATAGAACCTACCTATTTCTAAATGGTTAAGCATAATTGCGCTCCTGTGGTATGTACTACAGGTAAATACTGAGTAATCAGTTTCCTGTTACTGAACAGTTGGATAAAATTCAGAACTGTAGCTCTGCTCTGTGGCAGATTAAAATTGGGTGGCTGGTGCTGTTACTGTTTTCAGCTGTCCCTAAGGCAGGAGCCTTCACTAAATTAGTTTCTGCAACTTTTAGGCTAGCGTGTGAAAGCAAACCAGAGGTGGCATTGGTTCGCGTTTGTGTGCTGGGCTGAAAAATAGGATGTTTCAGGAACTGTCTCATCAGTGAAACAGGTGTTCCTGCCCGGAGATGAAGGCCCTCACCAGGAAAGAGGGGCATGTGGCTGCGGATAGCTTCAGGTGTCAAATTTAATCTACCACCACAAGCCGTTCAGATCTCTTTTCTCAAAAACTGCTTATATGCAGGCCTAGTCCATTTCTTTTTTTCTGGTAGGGAAGTTTCAGGAAAAAAATCTTTTTTGTCCAGTCCGAAGCGTTCACTGAACACACAATGCTGAAATGAAGCTGATGCAAAACCACAGCAGGTTCTCGAGACCACAAACTCCATAACCTGCAGCAAGAAAAATGAGGAGAGTGAGCCTTTCCTGGGAGCATAAACTCAAAGCGTGAGCTGCCCCATGGATCACGACTTGCTTCTCCCCTTAGGCTGGGAAAAGCTGGGATTTCGCCCTGGCTCCATCACGGGACGGGCGCTGTCCTGCAGTCGGCAGCACCCTGTGCAGCTTAGTGGAGAAGCTGTTGCCTGTCCTGCTCTCTGCTGCTGACCACAGTGAACCTCTGGGAAACGGTTGCTTTCCTGGAACAGTTCCTGTTTTGTGGAGGGAGAGTTTCTTATTTTGGGGCAGGGCGGAGGAGTTATGGTTCTGTTTGGACCTAACGAAAGTTTATAAAAACCAATCAGAAAGCCCTAGTGTTCAGCTAATAAGCAACCTTAAAGCCCCCAGTCATCTGCGCTTAACTGCGTGCTGCCTTGGCTTATACTTTCAGTGCATGTAAACTAGATTTCTTTTGCAGGAAGTTAAACTGGAAGCTTATAGACGTAAGACCACCGTTTGGCCTTTGGGATGGCTTTAAGTGACATGCTTAGCAGGGATGTTCAGCGTGGGCGAACAGACTAGATCTGGTCCAAAGGAAAACCTCTGGAGTGCGTATAGTGCAGGTGTAGGGCCGTGTATGTTCCTCCTACACTAGTGTAGGTAGATGTAGCCTGTAATCCCTGTGGGAACAGCGTGCTGCCGTGCATCTTGCATGTAACACATGAAGGAAATTGAACTCACCAGAGCATATTTTCATCGCAATCTAGAGTTCAGCAGATTGCCCTGGCACGTCAGGCTATTAACTCATGTAGTGGGCATGATTTTTAGCTTGTGCTGAACTCCAGGGCAATTATGGCTGCAGTAGACAGCACCCAGCTGCGGTAGGCAACCTGCAAAGGCACCTTTGAATTGTAACGTATCCAGCCACTGCTGAAAGCATCAGACTGCTCCCTGATCCTCCTTTTTGCTTTCCTGCGAGGGATGTACCCTGCGGTAGGTCTGCGCTTGGCGCAGTGTCCCTTGGCGCAGCCGCAGTGCTCTGCGTGTCGGGGAGCAGGAGCCAAGACTCGGCAAGGAGAGCAGCAGGGCTTTTGGAGGTCGTCGTGTCTGGCACTGCCCGCAGTGCCAGGGAGCCCGTTCCCGCTCCGCACAAGGTGCGTTGGCGCCTCAGCCAAGGCAGCAGAGCTTTAGTCTTCCCTTTTCCAGCAAAGCGTTTTGTCAGTAGGTAGCTGAAACTCCTAATGCTAACAAATGTCCTCTCCTGTGTTCTTCTAATCTTTGCTGCAGATCCGTTCATTTTTCGCACACTGATAAAGCTGAATGTAACCTGTGTGTTCTAGTCCACTATTATGGGGTGGCTAATCATCACTGAGCAAAGTCCAGTGTATGTAAGATGCACCCTAGAGTTAGAAGTTGTCTTTTGTGGTAGATAGTGTGCTATTTTCAGCGATTAAAATACCTGAATTTAGAAGGCAATTCTTTCTTAAGTACTGTTCTTTAAATGGCAGCGTCAATAGATCACCCAGAGAAATGGTTTTTCAAGACCAATTACTCACTTGGTAGCAGGTTTCTGGCCTTTGGAGCTTGGTTTCCCCAGCTGAGGTGGTGGTCCCTGGGCTGTAGGGCTGAAAACCGAACGATCGAGAAGGTCAAGCTGGGGCTGATTACCAGTATCATCACTGGGACCTCTAATTTAGAGTAGTGTACGCTCAACAAGGAGAGAGTTAACGGGGCTGCATCTGTTACCTGTGAGTAAATAAGAACTTTACTCGTATGGGACAGAGTCCAGGGTTTATACTGATAACTCCAGAACTAGTGTATTTTGAAAACAAATAAGATAGAGATATTGTACTAGGAGGGATTTTTTTTTTAGCATTAATATATTTTTTAAATGCATTGAGGACAGCATGAGTAGAAGGAGCCTTAAAAGGTCAAAAGCTAAAGAAAGACCAAATACCAAGTCTTTAAGGTCATCGCTGACTTAAACTGTTAAGTATATGGTATTACCTGATAGTCTTTTCCAGATAACCAATGATAACAGC